TTTTGATGGTGACTGAGAATGACACCCAACAATGACATTTAGACTCCTAGCTAAAATGATTACAGAACGTACACTACGTAAGCAATCTATATGTATATTTAGTGGGGTAGAACGCCTCGGCACTTGCAATCAAGGTCATCGAAATCATGATTCTATCGTATGGTTCTAGCCAATAAAGTCCATGATTTTATGATTGTAATAGGTACGATCATAAGATAAACAATCTTACCACATAGGCTCGGTCCAATTCAGAATCACAATTCCAACTACCTTTTGCAGAACTTACATTACTTCGTCAACTGAAAACCATAAAAACGTGGGCTCAATACTTTGTCTCACATGCCTCTCCATATAAATAATTAAGCTTAAGTAGTGGCAACATGCATGCTTGATTATGCAGAAACAGAAGTAGTTCCAAAAAGACTTACCGACAAATTTGTGCAGGCCACACCTAGCAAGGTTAAGATGGAGAACTATACCGAACTAAGTGCATGTTTTGCTTGGAGTATATTCTACTGCAAGCCCGCCATCAAGTGGAACCTCCAATTCACTAAATTCAGCGTCATCGGTGCCTTGATCGGTCACACTAATTAAAGTAAGGTACGTGGGTTGTATCTATTCTTGTTTTCAAAGTGAATGAGACAAAATTATATATCATCTAGATAAGTTTTAGATACTCCCTAAATTAATGTTCAATAAGAAAAGATACCATCTTATAGCATCACATCCACGTCAGCGAAACTGTTAATTTAAGGTACATATGCTCAGCAAGAAAGGAAGGTACATGTTTGCTAGTGAAAACTGAAAGCAACTTTTTTTAACACAGTACAGACACTAGCGCTCACATACACGTGCATACACTCATCTCTATGAACGCATACACGCACACCCTACCTCTATGAACACCTCCAAAAGACTGGGTCAGCACCTCGTCGTCGACGGGAACATCTCCTCCCACTGCGAGCACCAGAATTTGAACCCTGATGGGGTGGGGATACCATAGTCCCTCTAACCATTCAAACACAGGTTGGTTCACTAGTGAGAACTGAAAGCAACTGATATGACCGGTGGCGGTGGGAAATTAACTGAAGAATGGTCCATGTGGAATGTACGTATTTTCAGTGTTCTTTTTTCCAAGTGAAAAAAGGTCGATCCCACTCTTCTTCTTTTCTCCAAGTGGGCGATCGGAATCCGATAGTGATCATTTGCTGATGCATAATGCACTTTGTTCATCATCATCTGGCAGAAGAAAAACAAGACAAACCTCCAGTAGGCCGTAAGCTTCCCATGGCGACCATCGGCGTCGTCGTCCTCCTGCTCCATATTATTTTGTCAAATGAAAACCATATAAATGAGGGCTTAATACTTTTATCCCAATTTTTTTGCGAGAATCGTCTCAATTAGCCTCTCCATATAAATAATTAAGCTAAAAGTAGTGGCAAAATATGCATGGTAGGTTATGCAGAAATAGAAGTAGTTCCAAAAAGACTTATCGACGAATTTTGTGCAGGCCAGATAGCAAAATGTTAAAATGAAGAACTATACTGAACTAAAAAAGTGCATGTTTTGTCTTGGAAGAAAAGATAAGAAATCCATTCTAGCAAGCTTGCGATCAAGTGGAACCTCCAATTCATGAAATTCAGCGTGATTTGTGCCTTATTGTTTCAAACTAATTAAACAAATGTATATGTGTTTTTCGATAGTGAGAACTGAAAGCAACTGATATGACCGGTGGCGGTGGGGAATCAACTGAAGAATGATCCTGGTGGAATGTACGTACTTCCAGTGTTCTTTTTTCCAAGTGGAAACATAAGCAGCTAGTGAGTACTATAACAGATTAATTTATCCACACAAGACGGAACAATTTGTCAAAGTAATATAATTTTTTCCTAGAAATGAAGACCAAGTGAATGATTCAAGAAAGAAACTAATTAAAGTCTGGTTGGTGCGTCGATCGATCGTGTTAAAGTAATGACCAGTGCGAAATCAGCTGAAAAAAGGTCACACTCTTCTTCTTTTTTGCAAGTGACCGATCCGAATGCGATAGTGATTTGCTGATGCATAACGCACTTTAATTTGGGACGTCAATAACGGCCGAACGTTCGGTATGGGGAGGTGTCATCCCGAACGATTTTGTTCGGACCCCAGCCAGCTGGGATCGAACAAATACCTTGCTCGGAGCCAGCTGGGCTCGATAGGCCTGCGTCTTCCGAGCTGGGCCTCCTGGTAAACCTGCAAAAACACGTTCGGTGAGAGGAGCCAGATCGAACAATATGTTCCATCAGGGATCTCCCTCCCTCCTGAACGACCTGCTCCCTCCCTCCAGCAGGCCAGCCAATGGTACCAGCGCAAAAACATGATTGCCTTCAAGAACTAAAAAACTAAAAGAATTACAATATTCTAGGCCCAAAACTGCTTCTGTACCAACAAATAGAGAAAATACAAATAAAAATGCCTAAAGAATTCACTGGACCAAAGAAAAACCACCCCTAGAAAACATCTAGAAACAAAAAGTTGCCATGCTCATGAAAAAAACTACCATATAATCATGAAAAAGGGTATATTACAGAAATTTACATGATTTGCCAAGATGTTCATACACACTTCATTAGAATTCAGTTTGAAAAATTTGCCATGATATAATGAAAACACAAATAGCCACAAAAAATGGATATATAGGATATAACAAAAAAGATTTGTACGGAAATTACCATTGGGCATGTATAAAATAATTCTGAGCAATGGCATGTCAATGGATCAAAATTCTTAACTTTGCCATCTTTCAGTACACAAATGTAAAAAGCAGAAAAGCTTGCGATGGAAAATTAAACTGAAAATCGTCATGTGAATATAAGTATTTTTGCCATGGCAAAAATGGAGTAAATTTTGCCATGACAAAAAAGGATTAAATGTTGCCATGGAAAATAAATTAAAAATTTCCATGGAAACACAAGTATGTTTATCATGCCACAGTAAAATTTGCTATCTTCCGAAAAATGTAAATTTGCCATCATATTTAACTAAAAATTGCCATGCCCTTTGAAATAAATTTGCCATGGCAAAAAAAGAGTAAAATTTGCCATGTCATTAAAATTAAGCTTGGCAAAAATGATCAAATTTTGCCATGGCAAAAATGGAGTAATTTTTCATGGAAATAAATTAAAAATTGCCATGGCTACATATTAAAATTTATGATGTTCTAGAAATGTAATTTTTCCATCATATTTAAAATAAAATTGCCTTACTTTATACAATAAATTTTCCGTGTAAAACAATAAAGTAAAAAAAATTCCATGTCATTAAAAGTAAAGTTGCCATGGCAAGAAAAACATAGAAAAATCCCACTTTTGGCTGGGAATAAAAGTATTTTTGCCATGCCCCGTTAATACATATACCAAAAACATGTTATGTTGCCATGGCAAGTTTGCCATGTTTTTAGATAAAAAGTCCCATAGCAAATCACATAAATGTTGTCATATAGAGGAAAAAATGCCGTTGCTCGTGAACAAGGATAAAGATGAAAATTGCCATGAACTTTGCAAAATTTGCTAAGCTAAACAAACATTGCATCTTTGCCATGGCAAAACTTGAAAAATCCGCTGTATAGAAAATTCAGTTGTTGTCGTTGGCAAAAAATAAGTTCAGTTGCCATGGCAAAACATGTGTAGTTGCCGTGCAAAACATAGATTTTTAGTTGCCATAATACTTCAAAAACTATGCAATAAAGAAGAACTCTACTTGTTGCCATGGCGGAAAAAGAACTTGTTGCCATGGCATAAAAGAGTTTCTTCGGTTAGCAATGAGCTAAAAATGCCATGATATACATACTTATAAAAATTGCCATGCTACTGTCAAAATGGGTATATGGCAAATTTCAGTAGTAGGACCCATGCTAAAGGAATTTGACTTTTTTTTGTTTCAGATCAGTTTAGCATTTTTGTTCCAGATCAGTTTCAGTAGCAAGTTCCATCAGTTCAGCATTTTTGCCACACCTATAAAACAGAACAAAAAGGCTAGTATTCGTACAATTCACATTCAGGATTAATTTTACATGCATTTTGATAGTTGAACAGGTACAAAAAACAAGCTAGTTCAAACAGGAAAAGTACCACTGCCTGCTCTGCATGTTCTGCACGCACCCAACGGCCATCATACATTGAATCAGACAAAAGCAATGAGCGACGAAGCAGGAGAAGGAAAACATGGTCGCGAGAAGCAGGGGAGAGGAAGAAGACGCACCAGGCAGATCCTAGGGGTTGAACTTGTACAGAGCGACCTCGACGATCATGGGCACGGCTGCGGCTGGGCCGCCACCTCCCTGCAGAGGTAGTGGATGATGAGCTCGTCGTTCGTGGGGTGGAAGCGGAAGCCCGGCGGCATGTTGAGCTCCGCCTCCGCGTCCGGCCGCCCGCTGCTCCCCTTCCCCTCCGCGTGGTCGCCTCTTTTTGCCTCGCGGGCCTCCCGCAACCTCCCTTCCTCGGCTCTGCAACTCTCGCCGCCCCGGCCGCCATGACCTCATCTTCTTCACCTCTTGCCTGTGTGCTCCCGGTGGCCCACGATGCAGTGAACCGCCACGACCTCGTCTCCCCCGTGCTCTTCGCCTCGCTCGCCTCCCTCCCGACGTCGCACACCATCGAGGCTTCCTGCTCCGCATTATCCCGCTCTGCTCCGCCGCAGCATGGCTGCCCACTCCCTCTCCACCTTCTGCTTCGCCATGGTTGTCGGGGGAGTGGGCCGCGTGTTGTGGGTGGGGCGAGTTGGCTGCGTTGTCGTTCGGACCGTTCTCCCTCCATACCGAACAGTCAGCTGTGTATGACATGGCTGGCTATATGCTTCAAGATTCGTTCATTTGATCGAATGGCTTTGGACGCTTTCGGACGCAACTCCTAAAAATCATACGTTCGGGAGTTATCGATTCCGTTAATTTGTGCATCATCATCTGGCTTCTGGCAGAAGAAAAACAAGACAAGAAGCTCCAGTAGGCTGTTAGCTTCGCATGCATGGCGACCATCGGCGTCGTCCTGCTGCTCCTCCTACTCGCGCCGACACCGTATCTGGCCGCTGCCGCTTTCTGCCACAGCGTGAAGGCCGCCGGTGCCGCGCTCTCCCGGAACGCCTCCTCCTCGCCAGTACAGTTCGCCACGACCACCATCGACCAGGCCCCCGACGTGGTGTACGCGCTCGCGCTCTGCCTCGGCGACGTCCTCGACAGCTCCGCCTGTGGCGCCTGCATCACCGACTGGTTCACCACAGTGAACCAGACGCAATGCGACACGGCGGGCTCCAGCTACCGCGACTGCATCATCGTTTACGGCGCCGCGCCGACATCCTGGCGGCGCCCTCGAACGCCACGGGAGGATCGGGCGACAACATGCCGCCCTTCCAGGATTGGAACATCAGGAACGTCACCGCCGACGACGCCCCCCGCATCGTCAACCTTACCTTCGAGCTGCTGGCGAAGACCGCGGCGATGGCGGCCACCGCGACACCCAAGCTGTACGCCACCGGTGTCATGGAAAGTATTCACCGCAGGGTTTGAAAAGTATTCACCGCACAAGTTTCGGGACTGCCGTGGGATCTGCGATGGAAATACCCGAAAGTAAGTACTATTAGCTAACTAGTTTCGCTCATCTCCCGTTGATTCTAGCTACTTTCATCAATGTCATTTATAATGCTTCATTATCAGTTTGATTGACCTCTATTTCTCGTAAAGTGCTTGTGGCAGGAAGCCGGAAATTATTACCGTGGATACTACGTCTGTGAGTTCATCTACAACGCGACGGCCAAGAATAGGCGGGGCTACTCTAAAAGACAATATGAAGTGCATAAACAAAAATAGTCACAAGTTATTTTATTACCATCATTTCTGTTCAGTTTCATTCATATATATGTATTGACCCCCTTCTTGAAATTAGATGTGGCAGATACGGGATGAACTCCTACCACAAGATCACATGCGAGCAATTCAAGAGGAATTGGCTGGATTCTTTCTTGACCATGTCATCAATAAAGCCGGAGAATACCACCATGCATGTGGAAGTTGAGTTCATATGTTAGGGTATTGTAAGAGATCTTACACATTGTATATGTATATGTAACCAGTAGCGTCGGTAAGATATACGAAAACTTGTTGTTCGACCAATCTTTCGGAGAAGGGGAGGTCCATCACTTCTCTCTGTATATGTTCATGACGATCTTCTGTACTTAATAGTTTTCTTCATTTGCTTATTAGCTAGCTAGCGTGTCGTGTCCTCTCTATACGTAGCGTCGACCAAGCACAGAGATAAGAGAGGACACTTCTCTCTATTAGCTAGCTAACACAATGTATGAAACCCCTAAATTAACCCTACAAAACCCCCAACCCCCCCCCCCTCCTTCCCTCATTCAAAAAAAACAAAAAACCCAGCCCCTGAACTGCTGACGCGTGGAAGCCTTTTGGTCCCGGTTGGTGGCACCAACCGGGACGAAAGGTCCCCCTCCCCGGGCAAGCGGCATCGGCCACGTGGAGCCCCATATGTCCGGTTCCTGGGCTAACCGGGACTAAAGGTGTAGGGCTTTAGTACCGACCATTTAGTCCCGGTTCGGGAACCGGGACAAATGGCCCCCACGAACCGGGACGAATGGGGCTTTTTCTACTAGTGCACATAAGCAAAACTGATGAGGTGGCGCCTAGTCATAGCAATCCACCACAATTTACAAGGCTATGATCATCTATATTGGTTGTGATCAGCTACAAATAAGGCAGCGGACCAGTGTTGTCTGCTTTATGACCATTTAATGTAAGGAAATTACGATTTTTCTGGCGAAAATGGTCGTTATAGTTTAAGGTTTGGAGCCCTCCGAACAGCTTGCGACCAATTGGTCTCAAATGGTCGTAGAATTACTACCATTTCTTCCAGAATCATTAACAGAAGGTCATAAGTTGACATATTTCTTGTAGTATTTTCTCAATCGCTATGACTTAGCAAGGGCAAACTTCTCATCGGGCCTCATGCACCAACATTCTTTGTTTTCCAAACTTGTGACAGTTTCTTTAATTTCGATTCTGATGTAAGCTCTCCTCTTAATTAACAAAGTCATATCAGTGTCCTAAGAAACGCAATGTCAAGAACAGCTACATGTCACCTTCAGGTTGCAGGCCATTTCACATTTCAAAAAGGACAGATCATAGCAAATTATTTCATCAACGGGAATTTCAAGACTACGACGTACGCTAACAATACTAAGTCAATCGTGGCTGATGGTGACTGATTTCTTTATCCAAAAAAAGATGGTGACTGGTTTCTTGTCCTGATCAAGCCTCCCCTACACTGGTGCTAGAAACAAGCGCATAATTAGTTGGTGGGGGACGTCAGATAGCTTCTCTACAATTGATGAGTGGGCAAACCTTGGAAATTATTAGTCATTCGACATTTGATGGTGACTGAGAATGACACCCAACATCGACATTTAGACTCCTAGCTAAAATGGTTTCAGAAGGATACACTACGTAAGCAAAATCTATATGTATATTTAGTGGGGTAGAGCGCCTCGGCACTTGCAATCAAGGTCATCGAAATCGTGATTCTATCATATGGTTCTACGACTTTCCATCTAAATTGTTTGGACACGCTCTATGATTCTAGCCAATAAAGTCCACGATTTTACGATTGTAATAGGTATGATCATAAGATAAACGATCTTACCACATAGGCTTGGTCCAATTCAGAATCACGATTCCGACTATCGCTTGCAGAATTTTATATTATTTCGCCAACTGAAAACCATAAAAATGTGGGTCTAATACGTTGTCTCAATTAGCTTCACCATATAAATAATTAAGCTGAAGTAGCGGCAACATGCATGCATGCTAGATTATGCACAAACAGAAATAGTTCTGAAAAGACTTATCGGCGAATTTGTGGAGGCCACCAATGTTAAAATGAAGAACTGATACCAAACTAATAAGTGCATGTTTTGCCTTGGAAAGGAAAGACAGAAATTCTATTCTAACAAGCCGGCCACCAAGTGGAACTTACAATTCACGAAATTCAGCATGATTAGTGCCTTGATCGTTTCAAACTAATTAAAGTAAGGAACATGTTCGCTAGTGAGAACTGAAAGCAACTGATATGACCGGTGGCGGAGGGAAATTAACTGAAGAATGGTCCAGGTGGAATGTACGTACTTCCAGCGTTCTCTCTTGCAAGTGGAAATAGAACTAGCAGCCACTACCTCCGTCGTGGTTTATAAGCCCCCTTTGTATTTTGTGTCAAATTTTAAATAGAGATTTAACTAATAAAATATTAATACATGTTATAAAAATTATATCGTTAGATTCATATTTAAACATAGTTTTCAATCATATTATTTTTTATGACATGTATTAACATTTTGTTAGTTAAATTTAAGGTCAAAATTATAAACAAGGACGGAGGTAGTAGTGAGTAACAGATTTATATATCCACACAAGATGGAACAATTTGTCAAAGTAATACAATTCTTTCCTAGAAATGAAGACCAAGTGAATGATTCAAGAAAGAAACTAATTAGAATCTGATTGGTGCATGCGTCGATCGTGTCAAAACAATGCAGTATTGACCAGTGCGAAATCAGCTGAAAAAAAGGTCCCACTTTTCTTCTTTTCTCCAAGTGACCGATCCGAATCCGATAGTGATTTGCTGATGCATAACGCACTTTAATTTGTTCATCATCATCTGGCGGAAGAAAAACAAGACAAGGACCTCGTGTAGGTTTGTAGCTAGCTGGTCGTGTTCGGGCCGGCTGTTAGCTTCCAATGGCGACCACCGGCGTCGTCATCCTCCTGCTCCTCCTACTCGCGCCAACACCGTATCTGGCCGCCGCCGATTTCTGCGACAACGTCAAGGCCGCCGGCGCCGCGCTCACCCGGAACGCCTCCTCTTCGCCGGTACAGTTCGCCACGGCCACCATCGGCCAGGCCCCCGACGTGGTCTACGCGCTGGCGCTCTGTCTCGGCGACGTCCTCGACGGCTCCGCCTGCGGTAGCTGCATCGCCGACTGGTTCGCCACCGTAAACCAGACGCAGTGCGACAAGGCGGGCTTCAGCTACCGCGACTGCATCGTCGTCTACGGCGCCGGCGCCGACATCCTGGCGGCGCCCTCGAACGCCACGGGGGGTTCCGGCGACAACACTCCGCCCTTCCAGGATTGGAACATCAGGAACGTCACCGCCGACGACGCCCCCCGCATCGTCAACCTCACCTTCGAGCTGCTGGCGAAGACCGCGGCGATGGCGGCCACCGCGACGCCCAAGCTGTACGCCACGGGCGTCATGGACATGAAAACAGTGGGAACCTACCCCAACGTGTATTCCCAGTTGCAGTGCACGCCGGACCTGTCCGCCGATCACTGCTCGGCGTGCCTGGGCCGCCTGCTCCGCATGGTCAACTCCACCATGTCCCTGCGCATGGGTGGGCGGATGGGTGTCACGCGGTGCTTTTTCAGGTACGAGGCGTTTCCTTTGTACGGCGCCCGGCCCATGCTAAGCCTGCCGTCGTCGCCGCCGGGGCCGGCTCCGACTCCGACCAAACGCAGGAGCATGCTGTGGGTGATCCCCGTAGCTTTAGTTCCTCTAACGGCGGCAGCGCTTCTCTTCTTCATCTGTTACCGTCGACGGCTAACAAGGCAAAGAAAAGGTACATATGCTATTTTTCTAGTGGATTCGTTCTTTCATAGTATAATCTTCACAAATAGTGGTAAATTGGTGATTATGTTACTGCTATGATATTTGATGGCAATAATGTTACTCAAGGATCAAGACGTGCTCACAGTTTGGAGTGGCAAGGGAAAAATTCGGATTTCTCTTTGTTTGAGTTTGAACATCTACTGGAGGCCACAAGAAATTTTTCAGAAGAAAGCAAACTTGGGCAAGGTGGCTTCGGCGCTGTCTACAAGGTAAATTAGTAGTATAGGCCACTTTTATTGTCAACTGTTTAGTAGAAGCCTAATATGGTCCCTAGTATGAAACATGAACCTAGCTCATAAGTTCGTAAATGGTTGAGAAGGATTAATTACAATGATTCATACTTTTGAAGAGATTTTTTTCGCAGGGCCAGCTTTCAGATGGGTCGGAGATAGCGGTTAAGAGACTTGCTTCACATTCAGGACAGGGTTTCATGGAGTTTAAAAATGAAGTCCAGCTCATAGCCAAACTCCAACACACGAATTTGGTTCGACTCTTGGGATGTTGCTCTCAAGAAGAGGAGAAAATACTGGTCTATGAATACTTGCCAAACAAAAGCTTGGATTTCGTCATCTTTGGTATGCATTTGCATTTCTTAGTTACTTCAATTACTCTCAGTCGATATGATGCATCAGAATGACTAAATATTACTGGTGGCTTGTTTTTGGCAGTCCTATGAGTATAGTTTCATGACCTTGGCAATTTATTTTCATTTATCTGGGTGCCTTTTCCCTGTTATACTAATAACAAATTGATGTGTAGATGAGAATAAAAGAGCTTTGCTGGATTGGACAAAACTTGCAGTAATAATTGAAGGGGTAGCAAATGGACTTCTCTACTTACATAAGCACTCTCGATTGCTTGTCATACATCGAGATCTTAAACCAAGCAACATTCTCTTGGACAGTGAAATGAATCCAAAAATTTCAGATTTCGGGCTCGCAAAAATATTCAGCTCAAATGACACCGAAGGAGACATTACAAGAAGAGTTGTTGGCACATAGTACGTTTCTTTAAAAAAAAACTCCAATTTCAATTACATTTGTTACATTTCAACAAGATAAGGTAATATTGACATTTATCATATACCATTTTAGTGGCTACATGGCCCCTGAGTATGCTTCGAAAGGAAACTTCTCTATTAAATCCGATGTCTTCAGCTTTGGTGTTGTCATTCTTGAGATCCTAAGCGGGAAACGGAATTCTGGTACCCAACAGTGTGGAGGTTTCATCAATCTGATTGGATATGTAAGATTATATGCACAAACTTAAGCTTGCAAAATTATCTCTTACTTCTCATTTTCTACACAACCTAATGCGTGTGACGGAATTGCAAACAGGCATGGCAATTATGGGTAGAGGGAAAGTGGATTGACCTTGTTGATGCATCATTGGTTTCTGATAGTCACTCAACAAAGATAATGAGGTGCATTAACATAGCATTGTTGTGCGTACAAGAGAATGCAGTTGATCGACCAACCATGGGAGATATTGTGTCAATGCTAAGCAATGAGACTATGATCTTGGCTGACCCTAAGCAGCCAGCATATATCAACGTAAGAGTAGGAAATGAAGAGACATCCAATGCTCCTGAGTCATATAGTATCAATGATGTGAGCATATCAATCACAAGTCCTAGGTAGTGTTTTTCGTTGTGTCATGGTCTTGTACTATCCACTTGTAGTACATTCACACCAACATAAATGGTGTATACTGCGTAAGTTTCGGTGGTGTCTCAAGTGTGTCGTTTATGTGCCCCAAAAAGTATAAGAGAAAGGCTTCGAAGCTACTTGGAGCAACCTTTTCCGTTCTTATTTTCTTCTTAATTAGCAACTTTCAACTAACTTTAGTTATGTGCATGAGGTGTTTTTCCACCTTTGTTGTCACGCATACTAAAACACTGCCAAATGCGGTTGATTCTGATAAGTTGTTCCATACATGATGATTCGTTATCTACGGACATAATGAGAACTACAATGTTTAGCTATAAGAACACTACAAACTGCAAAGTCTAAGTGGTTAAAATACCAAAGGAGAGGAGGTGGTTTTGGTGCTTGATGAAGGCTTCAATTTATCTATGACAGATTGTGTCTATCCAAAAGCTCATGCAATACAAATCATCTTTTTTTTCCTCCATAAGGGGCCTTCAGCTTCTTGTATATAGTCGGGGGCAAGTGCCTTGGCGGGTACATGAATCCTCAAAACCGAGCGAAACTCTTTTTGTCCCTCGTCCTACGGTTGGTTTTCCTGGTTGGAGGGATTCCAAGTATTGTATGGGTTTCTCCTTGGATATAGTAATTGTACACTACTCGTAATCAGTTTGATTCTATCTCCGGTGGCACTCCGATGCTTGTTATGGAGATGCCTCCAGTTAGCCGTCGCCATGGCAGCAGAGAAAACAAGGAGTGGGGTGAAAGCGAAGGGGATTATGAAATGGGGTCATGATGTGATGTCCGAAATTGATTATCCCAAGGAATGACCTCGAATTAGGCATTCCACGTACGGCAGGCTTTCCGACCTGTTTCTTGTCCACTTTATTTGTTCTCTCTTCTAATTTCGGACGTGTGATTCTGTTCTAGTCCTTAATCTATAACTATTTTGTTGAAAAAACCAAATCTTCTACGTATTATATTCGTGCTGGCCGGCAGCTGCTAGACCGAGTGTAAGTGAAAGTGAACTGAACAATTTTAAGTCAACAAATTAACTGGGCTGACGCCGAGATTGATCGTTCAAATTAGTTGGAAAGCAACAGGCTAACAGTCAGCAGAGGCTGGCCGGCCACTGCATAAAATTTTGTTTCATTCTTCCAAGTCATCCACCATGCGACATGGAAAGCATGTGATTGCCGGCCGTGCTAAACACATACATTAGGTGAAAGTGAACGTCTTGACCTGAATAATTAGTTATCTCACACTCAACAAGTTGTTCTTCACCTGAATAACCCGTGCGTTAGGTGCCAAACACGTAGTATCATATTCAATAATTTGTTCTTGACTCTCTGAAAGAAAGACTTGCTCAACCGAAAGCAACGACTACAACAATTGCCAGCGGTTAGTTAATTTGGAGTTTTGATGAGGGGTGGCATATTTCTATGTGTGATGACAAAGGCGGGTGACCTTTTCCACTAAAATCCAATGGGTGTAAATTTCTAATTCACCGGATAGACGGCCAGATGTCTTATTTTTCTGCAATATTTTCTAATATGTTTTTTTATGTTATTCTGGTTAGTCCATCATACACATTTAGTACTTACTCTATAATACAATATAATATTTTTTAGGTGTGGTTCCAATCTTTTTTTTTTTGAACCAGACTATCCCCATTTGCATTTATCATGAAAATGACGAGTTCTTATAGACCAAAGGAGACGGGAAAGAGAGAAATAGTTTGAGACACTAATTGTAAACCCACTGTGACCATGTTGTGGTCCGGCAACTGATGTGTTTCTTCTCAGCGCCTTGTTGAAGGCATCTAGTGGTACACTTTTGATGCTTGTTAGGCTTGTTTTGTTGTGTGTTTATTTTTTATTCTTTTTTGCGGAAAGGCCAAAGGCCATATATGGTCATATATTAAGCACTGTAGTATAAATATGTAGAAATATGCCCTTACAAAAAATGAAAAATACATTCAGATTCTTAGGATTGCTGAAGTCTTTTTCCTCCTGCATCCATTGATGACGTGCTTTATTTCATCAGCGTGTATAAAAAGTCCCTCAACACTATATTGTATCTTTCGGCTGTGTCATGTAATTTTAGAAACGGAGTAAAACCCTGTTTTTTAAAAAAAAAATCAAGACACTAATTGGAAGCCCGCTACTAAGGGCATCTCCAATGCCGACCTGCAAATTCCTCTGGTATATGTCCGTTTTTATGTTCGGACGTGGTCCGCGGACATGATACGGGAGGGAGCCATCCAGTTACAAATTACCCGACTGAGAGGTGAAAAAGTAGGTGAGGACCATGCATGTGGTGAGATATTTATAGTTTGGTGTTCGGTTGGGAGGAGAGGGAGAAGATAGAGGGGGCATGCATGTGCGGTTGGGAGGAGAGAGAGAGAAGAGAGATACATGCATGTGATTGGGACTCCGGAAAACCTCCTCCAGGTTTGTCTGCAAAATACCGGAATTTGGACGTCCAGACAGCTTTGAGGATTGATAAAGGTCCCCATTAATTTACAAAAGTGAACAAATGTGTCCAATCAGACATATACTAGTACTTTGCGGGTCTTTCTTGGAGATGCCCTAAAATGCCTGAAAGACATGTACATACTTTTTTAAATCGAAAATCCACCATGGCGACTATTAATTTTCGAACATACTTACGTTGTCCAAAAGGCTGCATACAATGAATCACGGAGGATCTCCCCTAGACACAAGTCTGGAATCCCTTCTACATGGGGAGCTAACAAATGAGCTACAATAATCCTCTCCCTCGGACGGTGTTCTATGGTTATATGAGAGATATTCCCAGCTAAGAACACACTCTTCGTATATTGCCGAAACTTCTGTCGCTGAAAAACCTCCATCATGCATAGTTTGAACAACTTCCAGGCAGTCTGAGTTGATAATTATCTTCTTGCTCCAACTTGACATGCCACGATGAGTTTCAATGCTTGCGTTTCTGCAGTAGCAACCGAGTTTACATGTTCTATTCTACTGTTACTCGGAGCCACAAAGTGCCCATGGTCATATTTGATCACAGCTCTAGTAGCCCCCTTCTCCTCATGAAGACAGAAAGCAGCATCGATATTCATTTTAACATAGCCCTCAGGAGGTTTCGACCAACCTTTGTTTCTTGAAGCGCATCTTCCTATCCAAAACCTTCATGTGGTTTGCAGTCGAACACATGTACGCTAGTTTTTAACCTAGAATGATGAAAAGAGATTTCTATTCTGTTCCTGCCGGACCGGACACCGGAGCTGGCAGACCGAGCGTGTAAGTGAGGTGAGCAATTTTAAGTCGAGAGAAATTAACTGAGTGTTTGATCCTTCAAACACTTCATAGACTTTCTTTCCACCAGCCTCAGTGAACGCCGAGAAGACCTGATGACCTTGACTTTCTCCACATTTTGCCATGTTAAAGCAACGAGAAGCAGAGGCAATTAGGACAGGCAGCACCTGGCCGCGCACGTACGGTCAGCATGGCGGGCGTGCTGCTGCTCGTGCTGCTCGTTCTCATGCCATCGTCGGCCACGGCGATCGGCCACGTCTGCGGCAGCGGCGGCAACTACACGGCCAACAGCACCTACCACTCCAACCTCGCCGTGCTCAACGCCACCCTCCCCGGCAACGCCTCCTCCTCCCCGCAGCTCTTCGTCAACGCCACCGCCAACGCAAACACAAACGGGACCGCCGGCGTGGTGCGCGGGCTCGCGCTCTGCCGCCATGACACCACCAACCTCACCGCGTGCAGGGAGTGCGTCGCCTCGTCGTTCGCCTACGCGCAGAAGATGTGCCCGAACCACACGGCCGCCACCGTCTACTACGACTACGACGAGACGAACGCCCTGAAGCCAGGGTGCCTCCTCGGCTTCTCCGGCGACCGGGGCTTCCTCAGCACGGCGTCCGGCACCACCGGTAACGGCACCTTCTTCCAGTATTTCAACACGGTGAACATCGCCGGCAACGCTGGCGTCGTCGCTGCGGCCGTCCGCCAGCTCCTCTCGCAGACGGCGCGGGACGCGGCCGCCGCGGCCAGGAGGTTCGCCACAGGGTTCATGGACGGCGGCACCACGACAACACTCTACGCCCTGGCGCAGTGCACGCCGGATCTGTCCGCCGGCGACTGCCTGGGGTGCCTCCAGCGGCTCGTGGGCTCGATCAACGCCACCAACTCCGTGCGCCTCGGTGGCCGGATCTTCCGGCTCCGCTGCAACGTCAGGTTCGAGGCCTTCATGTTCTTCGACGACAAGAACATGCGGCGGATTCCATCTCCGACATCCATGTCTCCGGCGCCGGCGCCGGCGCCGGCAAGCAAGAGTATGTGATGAACAATCCTTGATTAATTTACTGACATGTTATTACTATGACTTGTATGATAATTCCTTGACACTGGAAAAAACTTGTGCTAATTTTGAAGGACATGGAGTCAAACCTTGGGTAATTGCCTTATCGGTGGCTGCTTCTGTTGCACTGGTTGCAATCTGTTTCATCGCCTACTGTCTTCGGCGGCTTAGAAAAAAGAACACAAAAGGTGAGTAAATTAGTTACTGAAATGATCAATAGTATATATATAATTAAGAGATGGATACTGATAGCGCCATAATTTTCAGGTACACAAGGAAAGCGTACTCACGAGTTTCAAGAAGGCGATGAACAAGTTTGGGAAATGGAAACAGAGTTGGCCGATTTTTCAGTATTTGACTTTAATCAGATATTAGAGGCTACAGATAACTTTTCCGAAGAAAACAAACTTGGCGAAGGTGGATTTGGCCCTGTTTATAAGGTAAATATATATATATATAACAATATTACGTAATAATCCTCGTTTTCTAGGCAAGATAACATGCATCACCATTATCATCAGAGTATATATAGGAATTTGGAACAGTCGATAAGAGGGAGAATATTGATCCATCAAAAAGCCCCAAATTGTTGCACAATACTGATATATGTTTTTCTCCTAGGGCCGCTTTGCTGATGGAGTGGAGATAGCAGTTAAGAGACTTGATGCGGATTCAGGACAAGGTTTCATAGAGTTCAAAAATGAAGTTGAGCTCATAGCCAAACTGCAACACAGGAATTTGGTTAGGCTCATGGGATGTTGCTCTCAAGGAGAGGAGAAAATACTCGTCTACGAATACTTGCCAAACAAAAGCTTGGACTTCTTTATCTTTGGTACATATTTGCGCTTTCAGATTCATATGTCAAATTAAAGTTCTCTTGTCTTTTGATTGTTTCTTTAGATGTTTTTCCACTGTTGTACCAACATTTAATTTCCGTGCAGATGAAGATAGAAAAGCTCTATTGGACTGGGATAAACGTATTGTGATAATTATAGGAACAGCAGAAGGACTTCTTTACCTACATAAGCACTCTAGGTTGCGTGTTATACATCGAGATCTTAAACCAAGCAACATTCTCTTGGATAGCGAAATGAATGCTAAAATATCAGATTTTGGATTAGCAAAAATATTCAGCTCAAATAACACCGACACAAATACTACAAGAAAAGTGGTTGGTACATAGTAAGTTTCATATGAATTACTCCACTTATAAACATTTTTATTGCAAGTCACCCGTATAGTAATTTGACATATATTATTACACTATTTTAGTGGCTACATGGCACCTGAGTATGCATCCCACGGCATTTTTTCTATCAAATCGGATGTATTCAGCTTTGGTGTTTTAACTCTCGAGATCGTTAGCGGGAAGAGGAATTCCCATGAATGTGGAGCTTTCATCAACCTCCTTGGACATGTGAGTGCATGTTTACACATCCATTTAATTGAAAAAAGGCTTTGTTTAGTCCGTGATCAACTAATTAAGTATTTGATGAAATTTCAAATAGGCTTGGCAATTATTTGAAGAGGAAAGCTGGAGCGAACTCATTGATGCAGCATTGGTTCCCAACATTTATTCGACAGAAATGATGAGGTGCATTAACATTGCACTGTTGTGCGTACAAGAGAATGCAGTTGATCGACCAACCATGTTGGATGTAATTGCAATGCTAAGCAACAAGACCATGATCTTACAAAAGCCTAAGCACCCAGCATATTTCAGCTTAAGCACTGCAGGGAACAAAGAAGCACCCACTACTACTCATTCTTGTAGTGTTAATGATGTGACTATATCTACGGTGACGCCTAGATAGTTTTCCACTATATGAATGTTGTGTTAATTTAGATGTTCGGTAGTTTGTAAGTTCTAAATAATAAATGAAGCGCACAACTTCTTCTCTATATATTACAAATGTAATGTGTTTTGTACAATGGATGTAGCCAATCAAAATAAAAAATGTAGTTATGTTAATTTGTGTTGATATCTTTTAATATCCTACCAATGGTTGTAGGCAATCAAACTACCGATAGTTGTATGGTAACGGACGAACTCTCCACCATCCAGATTACATCCTCTCTTTTTTAACCATGTAGCTTGGAAAAATCAAGGTAGGCACTACCAGAGTCTTTATATATAGTCCTGAAATTAAGTTGATGTACACCGTTTAGAAAACCGAACCATCTCCGAGTGTCTTTCGTGGTTTTGAGAAGGAAGTTGTTTGACTGAAGGGGTGCAGGGAAAAATATATAAATCAAAGAAAGAAAAATAGGAGATAAGAAAGGAAAAAAGAAAATAAAAAAGGTGTCGAAAATCTTTGCCGAGTGTCAAAGGCCAGTGCTAGGCATCATCCCGGATGATGTTTGCAAAATTTATTCTGCCTCGGCAGCCTTGGGATGGAGCCTATCCAACGATCCTAATTTCGAGCTGACGGACGCATCACGCTTTCTGCATGCGCACACACATACTCCCTCCGTTCCCAAATACTTGTCTTTCTAGGCATTTTAAATGGACTCAACATACGGATGTATATAGACATATTTTAAAATGTAGATTCACTCATTTTGCGCCGTATGTAGTCACTTGTTGAAATCTTTAAAAAGACAAGTATTTAGGAACGGAGGGAGTACACGTCAACTCACTGCATGCAATCCAAAAAAGTAACGTTCACACCGACCATTCGACGGCCGCGCATATAGACTCCATGAATACACATGTATCCTTGTTTCTACATGAAAGTGTTTAAGTTGTCACCTTAGTTGTTGCCGTCATAGTATCACCATTAGTCATTCACGTCGCAACACCCCCGCCCGTTGTCATCCCTGCCCATTGCAACAATTGGTGAAAAGACCCGACGAGTGCAACACCAGTTAACATTACGAGCCTCCGATCCTGGTTGCATTGCCGTCGCCGTTGCACATCATGGTCGTCGTTCGAGGTTGCGACATGGTCGTTGTTGCGGTCACCGTCCCCATTGGGGCATCACCCAACAACCCTCGCATCACCCCTCACTCACCCGACAGACATGCCTCGTGGCACCCCAGCGGGTGGTTGTCTCACAACATGGACCACTTGCAGCAATGGCAATCAACCCTTTGTAGCGTCGTATGTTGCAGTAGTGGTGGTCGGCATTGCAGCATCATGCATACCGCTTGCAACACCAACAATCAATCCTTGTAGCATCTTGTGTCTTGGCTTGCAGCAATGGTGGCCGACCATGCGGCGTTGCGTGACCGTCTTGTAGCAGTGGTGGCCACCTGTTGCAATATCGGGTTTCTCGTCTTGCTACCGAGTGACCATCTCTTGCAAAGTATCGCATCTCGACTTGCAGCAGTGGCGGTCACTCCTTTGCAGTTTCACGCGTCCCGGCTTGCAACAACGACGATGGGCTTTGCACTAATGATGACAATCTTTGCAGCGTCGGCTCCATTGCAACATGAACCGTTTTGTGGTCGCCCATTGCAACATCATCTCCAGCTTGCATGGCATTGTATGATGTTGCAAAATACATGGCCTTTGATCACCCATCGAAACATTGACCATTTTGTGGTCACCTCTAGCTTGCATGGCATTGCAAACATGTGGACCTTTGATAACCCATTGCAACAAAGACCAGGTTGCGGTCACTAATTACAATATGGCCACGACTAACTTTACTATGCAATAAATCTTCATTCTTTCATAGCAAAAATACCTAGAAAAAGCCAAGGCATGTTTTAGCATGGGAGCAAAAACGTATAATACAAAAAAGTAGTTGTAGTACCAAGCAAAGTAACATCAAAGACCATCGTAGCATGTCATCCATATAATACAAGCGTATAACACACCCCTAGTTGCAGATTGCGAGACAGATCATAGTTGCCTACGAAAAAAAAGAGAAACACAGAGTAGAGCAGCGGTGCATGCACATGCACGATGCAAAAGAATAGCAGTGGTAGGAGTGGGTCTATGTGCAGCTGCGCGTGGCAAACAACAGAAGAGGAGGTTGTGTGTGAGCGTAAGAAAGGACTAGCAGGCAAAGGCGCGGCGGCATGCCGCGCCCGAGCTTGAGCCCATCGTTGATCAAATTATAACTTAATCTATTGTTGCTCGAGTATGTGACCATAGTATATTGTGGTATCTTTTGTGTAAATTTCTGGTGAGCAGCTATATGCTTATGGGAAGATTGTATGCTTGTAAAGGTACAATAGATAATCTGGATTGTTTGATTAGATTACATAGCTAGATGCATACTGCGTGTATGAACAGAGAAATACAATAGGGTAAACACTCGATTATGGTAATATATCACATAGTTGCATGGCATACATGTGTGTATTTCATTAGTATTGTGACTGATCTGCTTTTGGTCTTCATCTCTTGTCATCAATTTTGTTCATGTTTTAAGAAATCGCTTGCAATCAAATAATTTTTTTGCATTTTTGTGAAAAAATGTTTTTAATTTTTCAAAAAATAGTTGATAATTTCAATAAATATTCAAAACTATTAATACTAAAAAAATCCACAAACATTTTTACCAAATTCGTGACTAACTTTTGAATTTATGAACATTTTTAAAAATCCACAAATTTTTGTCTAATCCATAAAAAATATTTAAATTCACGAACATTTTCTGAATCCACAGATTTTTTTTAAAAAGTCCGAGAAAAGATTTTTAATTCGCAAAAAACAAATTCAATCCATGAACATTTTTTTAATTCACAAAATTTTTTCGCAATGCACAAACATTTTTTTGATTTCATGATTTTTTTTCAAATTCATGATCATTTTTTGGAAACGCAAACAATTTTCCTATTCATGAAACATTTTTAGTTCTCAGATATTTTTAAAAGTCACAAAAAATTCTGGAGAATTTTTAGTTTTTTTGGTAGGAGAAAACACAGAGGGAAAAACTCCACCAATCAAACCTACGGTAATAGGAGCTAGCGATTCAATGTACTGGGCCAGTCCACCCAAGGTGTGGGATCGCTCCCTTAACGCTCGCAACAGGCGCGCTATAGCAGCTCCCACAAAACATTAGTCAACATTGTTATGCTTAACCTCTGTTAGTTTTTTTACTTCATGTCATGAGAGAAGAGAGTCAAATAAACAGGTGCATAACAAGTCTCGTTTTTCTCTCCATTATGTAAACGGCCGCCGCTTTGGGTATTATGTCGCCGCCCACCAACCTTGATATTCCAGTCATCCTGACTGTTTAATAAATGGCAGTAATTCAAACAGAAGGAAATGTACCCTACGCATGACGCATGAATCATAAATAAAGCACTATAAAATGGCGCAATAACAGATTAAACAGAAAGCTACTATAGTACAAAGTTGAGTCATCTATTTTGGAATGGAGGGAGTAGAAATTTAGCGCGCGCACACACACACACAAAAACTAAGCTTCTATCCTCGCTAGCCGGCACGATAAGAAAGAGAATCTCTCCTACTTTAAAAATAGTGTTCTCTCTAGCTCATTTATTCGTCCACCCTTTCATCCGTAGTTCCTATTTTTATTTTCTCATCTCATCTTTGGTTTTTCCTCATTAGTTTTGCATGAAAACCATCTTAGCTGCAAAGATTTTTTTAATTTGTAATCACATTAACAATAAAATGGCTTGTAATCATGATGATTACCTACACAAATTCACTAAACAATTAATACAAATGTACTCCTTACGATTCAAAATAGGTGTCGTGGCTTCAGTTTAAATTTAAACTAAACCTGAACTAAAGCCAGGACAGTTTTTTAGATCGGAGGGAGTACAAATTATGCTGCCATTGTAACGCATTGACAATTATCTAGTGATTCAGAAGAACAAAAAAGAAGGCCCCCGCAAACTTGGTGCTAGATACATTAATTGACCCATGCGAAATCAGCAGAAAAAAGGTTTCCGTGTTCATTTTTCCAAGCGAACGATGGTGATTTGATGACACGCAAGCGCACTTATTAGTGGATCATCTCATCTGGCAGAAGGGAAACAAGAAACATGTTGTAGCTAGCTAGTCGTGCACTCGTGATAGATCGGCCATGGCGATCATCCTGCTCCTCCTACTCACACCGTCTCTGGCGGCCGCCGACGTGTTTTGCGACAACGTCAAGGCCATCGCCACCACTCTCTCCAAAAACGCCGCCTCTTCCCCGGTACACTTCGCCACCAAGACCTTTGGCGGCGGCCCCAACGTCGTCTTCGCGCTCGGGCTCTGCCGCGGCAACGTCCTCGACGGCCCCGCCTGCGGTGACTGCATCGCCAACTGGTTCGGCAAAGCGCTGAACCGGACCAGGTGCGACAAGGCCCGCTCCACCTACGGCGACTGTATCGTCGTCTACAGCGCCGGCGATGATATCCTAGCGGCGCCCTCGAATACCACGGGAGCGTACGGCGACAACACGCCGCTATTCCAGCAGTGGAACATCAAGAACCTCACCACCGGCGACGTCCCCCTCGTCCACGAGCTTCTGGTGGAAACTGCGGAGAAGGCGGCCACCACGACGCCGAGGCTGTACGCGGCCGGCGTCATGGACATAGACGAAGTGACGACCTACCCGAAGGTGTACTCCCAGGCGCAGTGCACGCCGGACCTGTCCGCCGACGACTGCTTGGCGTGCTTGCGCCGTCTCCTCGGCATGGTCAACTCCACCATGTCCCTGCGCATTGGCGGGCAGATGGCTGTCATGCGGTGCTATTTTAGGTACGAGGCGTATCTGTTCTACGACGCCAAGCACATGCTGAGTCTGCCGTTGCCGCCACTGCCGACGACTCCGACCAAAAGCGGGAGCATGTTGTGGGTAGTTGCGGTAGTTGTAGTTCCACTAACGGCAGCAGCATTTCTCTTTTTTTTTTTTTTTGAACAAGGGCAGGGTCCAAAAGGACCCCAAACTTTATTTGATATTACAATACCGTAGTACAAGCGAGAGCAACAGGACACACAACAAACTGAAAATTACAAAGCAGTCCCAAAAATATGCAGAAAGGACCCCAAAGATCTGAAGAGGAACGCAATCAGGTCCAAGCCACTCCCGATCGACTGCAAACTCGCCGGCGCCGGGGACATCACCACTTGGTCCGACGAGTTCTTCACCGCAGCAAGCCGTGAACATCGAGCTAGAGTAGCACTGCCTCCCATATAGCTTCAAGGCTACGAGGAAGAGGTTTGGCCGCCCTTCGGCCACAGGATTCGGTGGCACGGCGGCGCTGCAAGCCGGCTGTCCGCCGGGGGCGCCAAAGCTCAAGCACCATCGATGATTTGCTCTGGAACCGGTCGCAAGAACCATCTTCATACCAGTCCCCGTCGACTTGACCACCACCATGGTGACTGCCGTCGGCGAGAGCAAGCGAAGGGGATTCCTGCATACCAGGGGAGACATCGAGCTTATTTCCGAGGATTCTAGCGCGCCTACTTCCAGCAGCAGCGAGCCAACCGCCACCACCAACAAGAGCATCGCCAGGAACCACCGAACGCGGCTCAGGCGCGCCGGCAGCAAAATCCTCATCAGCATGACGCCAATCTCCAGCACTAGGCCAAACTCCTCTAAGGAAAAACTAGAACTACACATACTAGATACTATAGAGGCCTCCCCCATCACCTCTCCAACCGGCATCGCCGGCGGTGAAGATCCGGGATCGGGCCGGCCCCGAGCCGCTTTTGTTTTCGCCTCTCCCAAACAGAACCGAGGAAAGGAGAAGGAACGAGAAAGTGGGGTCCAGAGCAGAGTGTTGTTGCTTTGTGCGATCGTGCCTACCATTTCTCTTCTTCAATTGTCACTCTCGCCGATTGAAAAGGCGAAGAAAAGGTATGCTCGCTAAGAGCATCTCCAGCCGCGCCCAACAGGCCCCTCAGGGCGACTTTTTTTTTGCGTCGGTGCCGAAAAAACCCCCAGTCACGCCCCCAAGACGCCGAAAACCGCCGGCTCTGCCCGTTTTTTAGCCCGGGATCCCAGGACGAACCCAGCGCGCTGGGGGTGCTTGGGGCTCCGGCGGAAGGGAAAAACATGCCTGGGCCACACTGTCAGGTGAAAAGTCAAGGCAATCGTCCAGATTCGCCTCCCTCCCCACCCCCGAGCGCTCGGCCAACACCCTGCCGATCCTGGCACCGCCCGCCGCCCAGCACCTCTAGGTAGGTCATCCCCGCCAGAAAAGAGAGAAGGTTTCGCCGCGGCAACCTCTTCAGCACCTTCCCGACGAGTTTTCCGGCGCTCTGGCCACGCAGGGCGGTATATCGGCGGCTGTGCGCCCACCACGCTTGCTAGGTGTTTGGCGGTTTGCCTGCTCGGCGATGGACTCGGACGACGAGGAGGCGCTTGCGGCGTTGCTGGAGGACGAAGCCGATACCGACATGTAGGAGGAGGAGCATCTCCTGGTCCTCGCCGCCCTCGCCGGCCTGCTCGCGAGCAATGAAAAGCCGCGGCGAGGTGGCTCGGCGCCGGGGCGGCTGAAAGCAAAGAACCGTACTCCAGATTGTAAAGGATAATTCGACAATCACGGAAGAGCAGTTTCAACTATTCAAGGCGGCTTGCGATGCCGAAGATGCCAAAAAAAGTCGAAGTACATGAAGCGGCTTCAAGAGAGGAACATGGGGCGCCACCACCTCGGAAGCTGTGGTTACGCGGGGAAGAGGTCCATATGGGCCAAGGAGGACGCGCATGCGAAGTCTGGGCATCCCAGACCCCTTGGCGGACTTCACCGTCCCGCAGGAGCGTGACGTCCTCAGGGCCCGGTACTGTTGGGACCCAGTCAAGAAGGTTTTCGAGACAGACCCGATCACGACGGAGTTCATGAGACTGCTGGTAATTTTAGTTTCTGGCCAATTCGACTGCACATTTAGTCATATTTGTAAACTATCCTTGTTCTTTTTGCAGAGAGAGCAGCACAAGATTGCGGCCGAAAGCGACTTGTCGTCTGTGGCGTTGGCTAGGCCCAAGTGGGACACCCCATTCAACCGGGTGTTGAACATATTGAAACAACTTCCGGTGGACACTCGGCCGCCGTATGAACGCATGCACGGTGTCGGAGACAACGCCACGTGGAAGAAGTACTACGCTGAGACCACGGAGGAGAGAAAGGAAAGACGAAGGTTAACTGAAGAAAGCATCGACAAGAAAGTTGAGATTGCGGTTGAGAAGAATTCTGCTAAGACAGTCGCAACAGCGGTAGCTGCCGCAAAACGGGAGCTGACAGATTTTGGTTCTGGCTATCGTCGGTTGGAGCAGGCGAAATCCAGAAAAAGATGCAGCGGACTTTCCCCTTGCCGACTTCTTCGGGAGCACCTCGACTAGCGTTGCACCAGCACCTGCACCTGCACCAGCACCTGCTCCTGCACCGGCTCCCGCACCTGCTCATAGCAGCCCGTCCTCCGTCTCGGGCGTGCTCGGCGGTGCTTCATCTTTGGCTGAGCTCGACGCCCTCACGATATCTGTCACACCGGCCCTCTCCAATAAATGTATAATCTCCCGTTTTAGTTGCCTTTTGGATGTCTCACATCATAGACATGTCTTTGCAGGATGACGCCCCGTGCACCATATTGTACGACATCAACGGCCAGAAGGTGGACGTGGGGAAGGCGACGATAATGAAGCCGAAGGAACAATTGTTCCACAGATGGCCGACCCCCCTGACTTCTTCAAGGTTTCCGTGCCCAGTGTCAAACCGGGCCACGAGAATTTGGTTCCTACGGTACTAGGGGGAGATGACGACGAGACCCCACGGAGGCTTGGCGATTGCAAGACGCCCGTGGGTCCTGTTGTGACCAAAGAGTTTTCTTCGTCTGGAGGCGGCCGGGAGCACACACACGATCACGCAGCCTCCGCAAGGTATGAACATCAGCACCCCACCTACCCAATTAGTGTCGCCTGTCGTGCTGGGTGATAGCGGACTGGGTGAGGAAGAGGCTCCATTAGTCGCCGATGACGTCACCATAGATGAGGATGAGGATGACGATGACACTCAACAATATCTCAATACTGGCGCCATTGATGATGAATGATTGATGGCTCAGCAGTATAAATACTCAGTTTGAGCGTCATGAATTGGTGCCTGAATTGCCGCCTCCGCAGCCTGAATGTATTGTAGACGACTTTCCACCAAAGAAGCAACGGAAGAGAGCGAGGAAAGACAACAATAAAGCTGCTGCTATGATCCAGCCGCCTCCGCAACCTCGGTTCAAGACCGTACACCTGTCCGCGGTGCGGCGAAATACCATATCCCCGGTGAACCAATCCTACCAGAGGCATCGGTACAGGCCATACACGGCGATCTAAGGAGACTTCATGACGATGTGCTGCGGAGAGAGAAAAGCCTAATCGCCTCGGAAAATCTAGAATACCCACTCTATGTGGTTAACGTGCTGCGAAAAAGGTTGTACGTTGACTCATTACCCGCGGAGAAGTTCTTCTTTCGATTCGATTACATGAACTACATCATCAGGAGTGAGCAGATACCTTATATGTGTGTCGTTGACCCGTACTTCATGCACGAGAGCTTCTTGGCAGTCTGCGCATAGCACCGTGATACGCAAGGGACTACATCGTCAATTTCATGGTCGTCAATAAGGGCAAGGAGACGATTCTCGTGCCTTATCATCCCTGTAAGTTATCCACGCGGATATCCTTGCTTCGATTTCAATCATTCATTTGCACGATGGAGGCTAATTAATTTGAGGTGTACTTATTTTGCGCAGCCATGGGTGCACTGTCCATCATCCTTTACCCCCGATACTCCCACGCTCTTTAATTGGACTCGTAGAAGAACATGAACAAAAAGGGTTACACCCACATCAAGTCTATTCTCGACAGAACTTGGACTCGTAGAAGAACATGAACAAAAAATGTTCATGCTGTGTAAACATTTTGTTCATGCATTTTTTATAATAAAACGGGTGTACCATTCAAAAATATGTTCACAGATTTTAGAATGTGTTCATGGCATTTTAAAAATGTTTGTGAAAAATATAAATAAAATTCATTTACTTTGTTAAAAATATCCCCATCATTCAAAAATTGGAAATGTCATTTTTTTAAATGTTGATGTGTTAAAAATTATGATATTAGAAAAGAAATCATGAAAATGTTGAAATAATATGTTCACACAATTTGTTTTAAAAAATTGAACGTGTGCTTAATATCTCACCATGAGCCTGGATCTGAGTCACAAGGTTCATGATATTAGAAAGAGAACGATGGGGGCCGGACGTGAAGCAGCTGTTGGGGTAGGTGTTAGAAAAAAGGGAATACTCTGTGAAATTCAGACTACAAAGTCTTTTTAGAATTTGATATATATGTTGTTCTGAAGAATTACAGAGTGGTTAAATGTTATAAGTTGCTGATCATGACTAAAAGGCCTCACGTTGGCCTTAGGAACATCCCATGAAATAAATACAATGATTTTTGTTTTGTCATGAATTAAATACTATTAATCTTCTTTCCTGTAAATGGTATTCCCGTATCCAAACTACAAATTTAAGTCTCGTTTACAATTTTCTTTGGAGGAAAAGTTGTTGGTTAGTTTCACAGTACTAGCCTCTTGTGACCGAATTTGTTGTAAGTATACAAATCGTGCCTTTATTCTCTGTGACAAATCCTGCGGCAACGTGCAGGGTATTTGCTAGTTATGTATATATTCTTTTGTCATTTCAAAAAGTTGCGGATGATGTAGGTTGTCATTTCAACTTGTTGCGGATGATGTAGGTCAAGACAAAATGAAAAAGGCTCAAAAGGTACAAGATGTTCAGCAGATTAAAGCACTCGGGTAGTTCAACATCTTTCTCTTTCACGAACGTGGGCTGAACGGTATTAATGTACAATTGATTACAAAACAACGAACCCGCTATAGCTTTTTGAGGCTAGAAGCTATCGACAGAAACAAATTGAGGCGACACTTGAGGTTATCGGTAATCCTTGAGGCACCCTCGAGGCGACACTCAAGGTTATGGGTAATCAAGCTAAGTATCTGTAGGTGTTTGCAGTCTCCAGATCTCGTTCCAAGTATTCCCTGCTGATAAGATCCTCGATCCTCCTCTTGATAATCTTGATGTCAGGCTGCACGAGAGACATACGCTAGTAAGCATCACAAGAAAGTAATATCGCAATATCCAAAAGCTAAATTGACTTGGGAGTTTGATGGACGGACCTTGAACATGCGGCTGAGCTGCTCAACGCACTCCGCAACGAGTTGCTGATGGCCCATGACCTTGCGGCTCTTCATGATGCGCACGATGCTCGCATCGATTGAGAACCTCCTGTCCTTGTTGACATCCTCGACAACCTTCTTCTTCTCGTCAGTCGGAGGAAGTGGTACCTGCACGGGCGCATTGGAAAAGTTGTTCGGTTATACAAACAAGACTTAAAACTGGAAAGAACAAGAGCAAAATTGAGAAACGAGGTTGGAAGACTGAATTGCGAAAGGCACCTTTATCCTCCTCATTTTGTCGGTAAATTTGTGGTTGACCTGAAAGACGTCACTTGGAGAAATTGTTCGGTTGCTTGGCACTTTGTTAAGAATCTTATACTTTGCACATGAGAGTGAATGGAGCAGGCGCACGGCGTCGTCATCGGGCAGATTTAGTTGTGTCACAATCTCAGAGTAAGTTAGTCGTTCAGATCCGTTGAATAGCAGAAGCATCGCAGCCTGGTCAGTCAAAATAACGGGAATATAAGATTTCTTTTTAAAAAAATCACAAAGTGAAGTGTACTTGGTCAAGGGTTTAAAATAGCGGGGCCGGGGAGTACCTGATATGTTGTAACAATAAGCTCGATAGGTTTAGCGTCAAACTTTGCAACGATATTGCAATTTCCCATGGAATAGATCCAAGTGAGCCTTCTGGATTTCTGTTTCGAATTGTAATGATCTTTGAAAATCTCGACGCATTTAATCTGAAAAGCATGAGAACAAAAGTTAGACCAATATATACACGGGTCAAATAGATGTCAGGTGACTAACTCTACGAAATAGCCAATCAGGTATGTGATGAAGGAATAAAAAGATATACCATCTCGGAAGGTAGATTTATGTTTGAAGTTTTGTAACTTGGCCAGAATCCTGTCGTCAGAACAGTAACACTGAAGTCTACACGATGATTTGGTAGTTTGTCTCTCATGTACTCTTCAAACGCTGTCTGATGGTCTCTTGCTGTTGACACGTCAGTGAGCATGCCCTCCATTTTTGCAGTAAACTGTCCCCCAAAGTACTGCTTGAGCTTGGAAAGGAGGCTTCGCTCGTGTTCGTTATTGGCACTCTTATCAAAGAGCAATCTCTTTCCAAGCTTCTTCCTGCAACACATTTTTTCATTATCAGTTTCAATCTTCAAAAATCATATCTGATTCTTGTTAATGTATAAAGGCTTGCGTAACATTGGAAAACACAAACCTGTGAAACTCAACAAAGAGATCCTTATCACTGATGTATGAGAGAATGGTCACAACCTGGAGAAAATCGAGTCTCATGAGCACCAAGAAAAGCATATTGTTGTTGTAAGCTCCTGAGAAAAAGAATGGCAGTTACCGTACCTTATCAAGGGTATCTTCTACGACTTCGTCGCTTAGCTTTTCGCTTCCACCTTTCCGCAAGATGCTATCGCAGAATGATGCGAGCGACTCAGCACTTGTGCAACCAGCAACATCTTTGTTGCAAAAGTCTTCGAAAGCCGCCTTAAGAGCCTAATTAGGACAGAGATAGCAAGGCAAAGAACAGTGAGCGCATGTTTCCGCAGACAATTAAACTGAGATACGACAAAATATGATGACGGAAGTACTTAACGTGCGAACCTTATGAAATGCTGAGTTGTTTTGGAAACAGTCGGTGACATATGCTAGCTGTTTGTCGTGGAGCTCAATCGCTTTCCGCACAAATTCCTAAACAGAGCAATAAACCATGAGAAAAGGAGATAAAATATATCGTGGTGCTAATCAAAGGTATGCTAAAGTGACACAGACCTGCTCCGGCGAACCCACAGCTTCCTTCTTCTTATTCTGCACATATTGACATTGCAAAAAGTCAGAATAAGAAAACTGTTGTGCATAATAAAGTGGTGACTAGAATGGTTCTAAAGACCACTTGTGGACGATTAACAATGTAAATTTAAAAATATCAAGTTTGAGAAAAAGAAGAAAAACTAGAAGGCTTTTTAAACGGTTTTTTTTTTCGATAAAGGGCGCTTTTATTATCTCAAAATGTAGCATCAAAGTGATACAAAGCATTAAGAGTATCACCCGGCCTCTGCATAACTAGGATGCACACAGCCAAACACCAGTAGTCTGATAAGTAGAAAGATAAAAGACCGACAATTCGGCAACAGTAGAGTCTATAGACCGACACTATGCCTATGTCGAAAGAGATGGTGGACCGAGCCGGAGATTATGCTGCCATCCATGTTGGATAAAAACCTCCGTAGCCACCTGCTCCAACAGCGTACACACCGCCTTGAACAGCGGTTGGTACTCCGCTCGTTGTAGCGTACACCACGTACGAAGCGAGTGCGTACAACGGAAAATAACCTGCAAAGGCAAAACAGTTTTGTCATTAAAAACAACATCATTTCTACATAGCCAAAGCGACCATAGTAAGGCATACGCTCCCACCCTTATTAGCGTTTTGTACCTATTTGAAATACCGTCCAGCCAATGACCAAAAATATTGGCAACACTTGTGGGTGGATACAAATTTGACGCTATTTGGATGGCTGACCACGTAGAACGCGCAAACTTACAGTGAAAAAAGAGGTGTTTAATTGTCTCGTCGTGAGTACAAAAACAACACTTCTTACTTCCCGACCAGTTGCGTCTTGCGAGGTTGTCTTTTGTTAGCACAACTCCCCTACGGAGATACCACATGAATATTTTGACTTTAAGTGGTACCTTCGCTTTCCAAATTATTTTGTTATTTCTCACCGGTACCTCAGAATGCGAGAGTGCACGATACATAGAGTCTACTGTGAAAGACCCCGATGTAGTAAGGTTCCAGCGAAACACATCACGACCTTGTGTCAGGATAATCGAATCCAGACGGGACAATAGATTATTCCATGACATAAGTCGGGTGCCAATCAAATCCCGCCTAAACGAAATATTTGGCGGGGATGAGCTGAGCACTTGCGCAATAGTATTATTCTTATCGCGTGCAATGTTGTATAGGGCTGGGTATTGTTCTCGGAGGCTAGCATTGCCTAGCCAGATGTCTTCCCAAAAACGAATCTCCGACCCGTCCTTTATCGCGAAAGACCCAAAGCGAAAGAGATGTTTCTTTGCCGCCATTAGGCCGGCCCAAAAGTGTGAGTCTCCAGTTTTCCAATATACCTGAGACACCGCCTTTTGGCCTATATACTTATTGCGCAGCATGGTTTGCCAAACACCATCCTCAGTAAGAAGTTTGAACAACCATTTACTAAGTAGGGCCTCATTCTTGACCTGCAGGTCATGAATACCGAGGCCGCCCTGGTCTTTCGGCCTACAAACCACACTCCATTTGGCCAGCCTATATTTTTTCTTTTCACCATCTCCTTGCCAAAAGAACCTGGACCTAAAATAGTCCAGTCTTTGCAAGACCCCTTTTGGGAGCTGGAAGAATGAAAGCATATAGAGAACCATATTTGTGAGGACAGAGTTTATTAAAACCAGTCGTCCTCCAACCGAGAGCAACTTGCCTTTCCAGCTGCTCAAGCGTTTCTCTAGCCGCTCCTCTACATGCTTCCACTCCGCAATGGTGAGACGCCGATAGTGAATTGGTATTCCCAAATATTTGATTGGGAATTGTCCATGTGCACAACCAAAAAGGTCAGCATAATCGGCCGCTGCCTCAACGGCTTCTCCAAAGCAGAACAATTCACTTTTATGGAAGTTAATCTTAAGACCCGACATTTGCTCAAACGCTGACAGCAGAAGTTTCAGGTTTCTAGCCTTGTCTAGGTCATGTTCCATAAAGAGAATTGTGTCATCGGCATATTGCAGAACAGAGAGACCACCATCCACTAGATGTGGCACTACTCCTGTAATTTGCCCGTCCTGCTTGGCGCGCTCAATCAGAATAGCCAACATGTCAGCCACAATGTTAAATAACATTGGGGATATGGCATCACCCTGTCGTAGTCCTTTTTTTGTCTGAAAATAATGGCCGACATCATCATTGACTTTGATGGCCACACTACCTCCAGTTACAAAATTGTGGATCCACTTGCACCATTTATCGGAGAAGCCTTTCATCCTTAGGGCCTGTTGGAGGAAAGACCATTTGACCTTGTCATAGGCTTTTTCAAAGTCTATTTTGAATACTACTCCACTCATGTTTTTCCGGTGCATCTCATGGACGGTCTCATGCAGGATTACTACGCCATCGAGTATGTTCCTTCCTTGCATGAAAGCTGTTTGAGATGGCCGAACAACATGGTCAGCTACCGAGTTTAATCTATTCGTCGCCACTTTGGTGAAAATCTTGAAGCTGACATTAAGGAGGCATATGGGTCTGAACTGTTGAATCCGTTCGGCCTCCTTAATCTTCGGCAACAAGACAATCTCGCCAAAATTAAGTCTGAATAGGTCAAGTTGGTCGGCATGAAAACAATTGAACAACTCCAAAAGGTCGGACTTGATGATATCCCAGAAATTCTGATAGAATTCTGTGGGGAAGCCATCAGGGCCTGGAGCTTTGTTATGTTCCATTTGGAACACCGCAGCTCGTACCTCCTCTTCTGAGAATGGTGCCGTTAGGATATCGTTTTCATCTGCTGTGACATGTGGAATATCATCTATTCGGGTTTCATCAAGGGTGAAATTCCCTTCAGTCGGCGCTCCGAAAAGAGATTTGTAGTATTTGGTGATATACTTTTTGAGCTCCTCCTGACCTTCGATCCTCCCCTCATCTTGTTGGAGACTGTAAATACATTTCTTCCTATGCCGCCCATTGGCGATCAATTGGAAGTATCTTGTATTACTATCACCCATTAAAATGAAATCAGCTTTGGATCTCTGGTAGTATTTGATCTCCTCTTCTCGCAATAGACGGGCAACCATCTCATTAGATTGATTTTTCAATTCAATCTCTTGCTGAGACAATGTGCGCGTCTCTGCAATTTTGTCGAGGTCATCAATGATGGTACAGAGCCTTTGTTTTTCTTTTTTATATATTCCGTTGGTGTGTTTTGCCCATCCAGAGAGGTGTCGCCTCATGGCTCTTATTTTAAAGATCCATCGTTGAATAGGTGTACGACCAACAGCGGGCCTCTCCCAAACATTCTTGATCATGTCTACGAATCCGTCCCTATTCAGCCATCCCAATTCAAATTTGAAAGGGCGTCGGGTGGCTGGGTTCGTAGAGTTAGAATCCAGAATGATGGGTGCATGATCCGATAAGGCCTCGATACGCTCTAGGGCTCGCACGGTTACCAGAGGGAATTTTAGTTCCCATTCGGTATCCATTAGTACCCTATCGAGCTTCTCGTATGTCGACACAGATCGGTTGTTCGCCCAAGTGAACTGACGCCCCGACATACTGGCCTCCCGAAGATCCAAACTGTCTATCACAGCATTGAATAGGAAAGGCCAATGAGTGTCGAAGCGGTCATTATTTTTCTCTTCCTGGTACCTCAGAATGTTAAAGTCCCCCCCAATAAGCATTGGGTACGGGTTATTCTTAGCCAGGTTAACCAATTCCCGAAGGAAAGCAGATTTATGCTCATCTTGGGCAGCCCCATAGATAGCGACAAGAGTCCATGTAAAGTTGTCAGCTCTATTCCGCAGGTGAAATTTTATATGAAATTCACCGATCGAAAAAGCCAACAAGTCCATGGTTGTTGTCATTATCCCAAGAAGGATTCCTCCAGATCTTCCACGAGCTGGTAGACTATGCCATGCGTAGTCGAAACCACCTGATAGGTGATCGAGGACATGTGGGCGAAAGTCGCACTTGCCAGCCTCAGAAATTGCCACAAAATCCAAACCATGTTCCCGGACACAATCACTGACGTGTTTATGTTTAGCCAAGTCTGAGAGACCTCTGCTATTCCAAAACATGCCTCTCATGTGGAAACTTGTGTTTGTGTTGAACTCTTCGCCTTCTTGGGCGGTTTTTGTTTCTTTTTAGAGGAGTGCGATTTAGATTTCCGCGAAGACGCCATGAAGTCACAAAACATGGACCCAGGTCTTGCATCATCCAATCCAACCTCCGTAACCTCACCAACCAAGTGGGATATAAGCGGGCCATCATATTTGGCATCCGCTTCATCCTCCTCCTCGGTTTCGGGGTCAGGTATGGTGGTTTTACATTTCGGAGAAACCTTTAAGCGGTCGATCTCCATATGTTTAAGCACCCGTACCGACAAATTAATTTCATTATCATTATTTCCCATAGATACACCGACTTTATTTAAACTGGTAGAAATATGGTTGTCGGACAAAGAGAGAAATGACTGAGCAGACGAGGTACCTGTCATGGGGTCCAAATTCCTCGAAGCCTGGAGACGCATTGCCTTCGCAAGAGAGTGCTCATCAGTCGAGGAAGAACCATCAACATTGAGGGAGTGACGGTTACTACGTCGCAGGGGTGTAGCCAACCCTCCGGACGTAGTCCCCGTCAAAGTCTTCGACGGAGTAGTTGATGTAGTCCTCTGCAAAGCAGGCGTCGTCCGAAGCGTCCCAAGGGTTGGTGAAGAGGGACGCGTCGTGGCTCCCATCCGAACGCCCGCATCAGATGCCGAAGAAGATCCTCTAGCACGATCCGCCGCTGGGCCAAGTGGCACCATGGTAACGGCCGCACGAACTGGAGACTCCATCATTGGCGATGTCTTGGATTCCCGCACGCCAACCGAAGCAGGAAGTATCGCATGCGCTGCTGGGGTCAAGGCTGGCTGTAGCGGCGTCAAAGCCGGGGTAGCACCATGCACAGTACTGTGTGCGTTTGGTGTCGTGGCCAGATGCACGGCCGACTGTGCGTGCCCAGCAACACAGACAGAAATTGCCGCGGTTGGCTGCGCCGGTGGCCCGTGAACAACTGTTGTTGCCTTCACGTGAGCAGCCGAGTCGTTTCCAGCATCCGTTACATGCATAGTGGTGCACCTTGTGGACCCGCCCTTCTCCAACTCGTCTTGCATTGGTATGCATGCATCCATGGACTCCTGCACCACCGGTACGTGTATGTGTGTATCCATATTCTCTGGCATACTCACAACAGATGACTCAAGAGTAGCAGTATGCACTATTTGTTGTGTAGACTGTATGGGGACTGCAGCACTTACTTGAGACCCCGACGCCGAATTTTGATCAACAGCTTGGATGCATTTTGACCTCTTGTTAGCATCCCTATCAGGCATATCCTCATCTCGGTTAGCGCCGTCATCATGTCCATTATCATGATTTTCCCAAATCCGGGGAATAAAATCAACGTCGGGAACAAAATCTTCCTCCTCCAGTACAAACCGAAATCATGTCCATGTCCAGCTTTTTAAACGGTTAAATCCCTTGGAATAAAATATACTCACCACATTATGAAGATTTATTATATGCAATGACATTTAAGCATATAATAATCATTCAAGAAGGAATAGTCCAACACAAATCTAGCACTTAATAAGTGTCTCTCAAAAGTTCCTCTAAAATTTATTCAAGGGGTATGTCAACTAATCAGCACGTTTATTATACATGTACTCCCACGAAACTGGTTTATAACAGAGCGAAAAATGACAAATCAATTAAGAATTACTAAAGGAATTCGAGATTTTAACATGATGATGCCAACATTGATCCAATACAAATCACTTTGTAGAACAGAGGGAGAAGACATGGATTACCCACCTTTGTGCCGTTGGCAGCATCTGCTGCATGTTTCAACAAGGACATGCCCTCTTCCTTGACATGCTGCATAGAAGTAAGCATCTTGATTAGATCTTACTATCGTAAGGGTGCAACGCATTAAAGCCTAACATGAGGTTGTCAATATGTATATACCTCCTTAAATATTTTCGATACATGAAACAGCCCAACGTCTATCTTGGAAAAGAGCCTGTACATTCTTGATAGATCCTCAGACTACAGTAAAATAAGACAGCCTAAATATTTAGTAAATCCATAATCCAAATGTTAAATATGCTAGGCATAAATTAGAAACATCAAACCTTTCCATCTAAAAGCAACACTCTGCATCCAGAATTTTCCTTGTACAAAATTTCTTCTGCGCGCCAACTTATGAGTTCCAATATAGTACCCTGTAAACATTAAGGTTAAATTTCCGTTGCGTGAAAAAGCTTAACACAGAGAATAACGGAAAGCTTGTTATAAAAACACCAAAATAAATAACTGATTAAAAACCTCTAGCAACTTCTCTTCAGTTGAAGCATGCAAGTAATGGCCTACTCGCTCTTTCTCTTTCTGTAAGCTGTCCTCGACCTATATAAGCAGAGAGTACCAGTCAGAAGGTATCCTTATATTTGATTTAACTTAGTATAATTTTCAGTCATATAATACAGAAAACTAACCTTGAGCATGTATTCAGGGCAGGAATCCTCCGACATCCAGATTTGCGCCTTTTTAGAATAGTAATCTTTGGTACCCTTGCAAAAAGCTTTCTCGAAATCGAGCTCATAGAGGCCGACACTACCCTGTCCAATTTCGAGATAGATACCAACAACATCCTTCAGAAGAGCACGGTCTATAAGCTGGCCTTCCCTCTCATTATCAACCTGTTAAAGACAATTGCAAGAGCACAAATTATTGTAAAATCCATCTCCTTTGTAAAGAAATTGCGCCAGAAACAGCAGAGGGCAAGGCTTACCATGTCGATAACAATCGTCGTCAATGTCGTTTTTAGCCCGTCGAAAACCTATAAAGGGCAACACAGCCAATTACTACATGTTCAAACCTTGCACAGGAAAAATAACAAATTGCTCATGAGCGGGTGAAAAGTGTCGTCCAAGGACGCGGAGACTTACTAGATCATGGAAGCAGCTCAAGCCGAGCTCTTTGAGCGGCAGAAGCAACTTGCGCGAAACATAGTAGCGGTCGAGGTAGTGGAAGAAGCGGGTCAACCACCTGACCATCACCTTGTGGTTCTTCCACCTCTCCACCAACTCCCTCAGCAGGAACTCGCCGTGCTTGCTCTTCAACGAGGGCAAGACCTAACATGGCCAAAAAAGAAATTAAACAACGCCTACAATCTACAATCTGAGGGGAACGGCATGCGCAACTTTATAGAGGCGGTCGTCAGACTGACGTTAAGAGCAATCTTACAACAGATTAAGATCACGATTAAAAGAAGCAATCTAATTGATTCGACCAACTAAGAAACGGGCGCACGTACGGCGGATTTGATGTACTCTTCGAGGGCCTGCTTGTAGCGCTTGTAGAGCTGCTCCGAGTAGTCGTACGGCGGCTTCTGCGTGCACATGTTGAAGATCATCCTGACACAACGAGGGATTAGGTCGGGTCAGATTGGAGCTTTCGGGTGCAGAAGAAAAAAGCACGCCGGAGAAGTTTATAGCTAGCCCTAGAAGAAAAGACGAGCTAGCCGCCGCGCGAGCTAGGGCATACGTACGTGTAGAGGTGGATGTACTCCTTGGAGGTGAAGCTGACGCCGTCGACGCCGTGGAGGATGCGCTTGAGCCTGGCGATGCCGGCCTCCATCTCGCGCCACCCGTCCTCCAGCGCGATCGGCGTCTGGTCCTGATCCATGCCGCCGGCGGAACGTAAGAGGGTTTTGGGTTTTGGGGGTCTCGCTTCGATCGATTTCGTTTCTTTTCTCCCCAACGAGGCGGGGACGGCGGTATAAATAGCGCGGTGGCGGCAGCGATCGAGGAGACGGCCGGGCGGGTGGGCCACGAAATACTCCAACTAAGTCGGTTTTGATCCTATATAAGTCAGCTTTCGTTTTTAGGAAAAAAAACGGAAATGTTAACGCCCACACGTGTGGGCGTTTGCACATCGCCCACACGCCTCCATCACCACTCATTTTGCCACGTATGAATAGATGACATCAGCAGAATTTTTTTTTGATTTTCGGCTTAAAAATCTTGTATCTCCTAAATAAAAAAGCGAACTAAAAATTCGTTTTCACCATTAAATCCGTCTCGATGAGATTTCAAAACTAGACCCCATGTTGATATGTTTCGACGAATTTTTTTTGCCAGAAGTTGCCACGATGTTTACACTGCAGTTGCCATGGGGCTTAAACTAAAGTTGCCATGTGGCAATTTTAGTATTTTGATGATGGCAACTCCAGTACTTTGACCATGAAAATTATTTTTTTGTATGAACCATGGCAATTTTACGTGCATGTATCATGGCAATTTTAGTTTATGGTTCATGGCAAGTCTAGTTTCTTAATTCCCCGTTTTATAAATGTTAAAATTTATTTTTAAATGTAGAAGAAAATAGCTGAAACATATCATGGCAACTTCAGTGTAAACATCATGGCAATTCATATGCAATAGACATGGCAACTTTTAATCCAAAAAAAATTCATCAAAACATATCAACATGGGATCTAGTTTCGAAGATCTCATCGCGAAGGATTTAATGGTGAAAATGGATTTTTAATCGGATTTTTCGTTTAAGAGATAAAACATTTTAAAAACTGAAAATCTAAAAAGATTCCTGCATGCATGCATGCGATGACGTGGCAATCTGTTTACATTAGAGACGTGTGGTGCGTCTTTCTTCTTGCCACACGTGTGGCAGTTAGCGCGACCCAAAAAAAGTGGACTCTTCATCGTGTGAGTCGGTTTTGATCGTGATCGAGTCGGCTTTCGTTTTCGTGGAGGACGAGCACGACACCTCGCTGGTAGCTGCTCATGTCCTGAGGGCTCCCCTCGCTTGGCCTTGCCTGTCGCTGGCCGGTCTTGGCACTGTCGTGCGCTCCTGGTCCTCCCTCGCGGGGTCGTCGGCCATGCCGACTCGGGCGCCTACGGTGATGGGTGGAGTAGCTCTGGGGAGTTGCCCTAGGGCTTTCCCTCGTCGTCGAGCACAGCCGTGGCGGTTCATGAGTAGTCGCCGCCGCCAATGGGTCCGCTAGGGTTGCAGCCGGGCACCCGGCGCGGCTGTGACCTAAAGGATCGGGCCGAGGCGTCGCATGGACCGTGTGTGGCGGGCCAGCCCATTTTCGTCGGGCGCAGCCAAGATGGTCGGGGAAGGCTGCCGGGCTATGCCATGGGTGGGTCTTGCTGCCCGTTGAGGCCCAGTTGTCCCCCGGCAGAGGCCCTTAGGGCTCGGCCATTTGCGCCTACCGCCACTCCACACAGCGGATCCGGATCCAACAGCATGTGTGCGACCCAGGGGTAGCCGGGTAGGGTTTCCAACAACTAGATGTGAGGTCGCTTGGTTAGGTCCCTCTGCTTGATCTGTCTGCCGCATCCTTCCTTCTCGCCCGCTCACCCTACCTACGTTGCCACGGTGACCGCCCGTGATGCCGGCAACAGGGCTTCTCAATCGAAATGCCCCTTCCATACTAAACGTAATGCACGCCCCTCGGATCCCATGCATGGGCCTCCTCTCGGCGATAATGACCCCCCACCACCTCTTCCCGTTGTCAGCTCGCCCTGCACCGCGCCAACGCCCGCCGACATCTGGCTCGTCCTTGTCGATGTATGCTTGCAAGGAGCGACCTGAATTGCCGGCACTCTCAGGCGGGAAGTAGAGCCCAGGAAGCTTGTCCGTTGGCTGGACAGAAGTACTCAAGCAAAAAGCAAATTCAAAAATGCAGACAAGATGATGTTCCTGATGCACCATGGTTCTTGAGGCGTTTTCCTCTTTCTTGGACCCCTTTGGCCTTTATATTGGTTATGTATTTTTTGGAATGTACTTGAGCTAGCCAAACATGTTTATTGACATATTGCTAAGTAGAACTTATTAGTACTTGCATAATGCTGATTGCTGTATCATTATGTTAAGACATTTTCTCCTTGTTTACTCTATCAGAAACCGGTATTGTGAACTGTTTATGACGAACATATTGTTTCAAACTTATTTTAACTCGTTTTGAGTCTTCTATTGAGACATCATTCCTGTGCAATCCTTCATCTTGAGTGTGCCGAATGTGTTCAACAAAACCTTCACTTCTTCTATTTCGGCTATGGTGAGCCTTGGATTCCACCCAGACAGTTTCACCACTTGGTCAGAGGTGTAAGGAGGTAAACCAATACGCATGTCTGGCCTCGCCACGTCCTCGCAATAGAACCAGTTTTGTTGCCACATTTTAAGGTGTCTGCCACCTCATCATATCAAAGTAACTAGCGGTCTTTTTTATTTGCAACCCTAACTTGCCACGCGATTGAACAAGGTGGGTGTGTGGATTTTTCAGGTTATATTTCTTCATGGTTTGGAGTTCGGAACCGACGCTATGTTTCTAGGATGCTCAGTGCGGCTGGGTGCCAAGAATTTTGTTTGCAAAGAGAAACAAGAGTTAATTTGCATGTACAGTACACAAACTTGCAAAAAGGACTCAAACAGGCCACTGAACTGCTACAGTGCGGGAACAAATGGGTACAAAAAAGAGTCTCAATTGCCTGCGTGTCATGCCACGTCGGCAGAGTGGCACGCGCCGGTTGTTTTGTAATTTGTAGAGAACCCCCACGAAATATAAATACTCATCCCGCGGTCCTAAAGCAGATTGGGAGCCGAAAAAAGTATCAGAATAACCCTGTACCTATGCATAATATGAGATTGCTACCGATAACCCTTCACAAACCCCTGGGTCACTTTGCCTCCGGCTGTTCATGTTCTTGGGTCTCGACGCATGGCTTAGTCGCCGCGGAGGCGACCTACACTGGATGGAACCACGTCCTCGTGGCATTGGCACCGAGTTTTCTCTCGATTACTGTATGTAATCTAGCTCTACCGCCGTTGACGCGATGATTTGTTCACTGTCTCCCCTATCTCCTCCTAGGGTTTTGATCGTGTAATGATCCTGAGTGAAATCGAGATTAAATGTATGTATTTTGGGGGCATTTGCATCACAATCTGTTACGATCTTTGTGTTGTGTTCATTTGTAAAGTTCCAGTTAGTTTTCCTTTGTCTGCTCATGATGCGAATTAAATTCAGAAACTAGTTCATGCCTTGTGTTGTTCAGATTGAATGCTCCCTACTATTTATGTGTCGGTTGTAGTAGGATCCGTTGATTCACTTGAATCGGTAGTAATAAGTGCGAGAAACACAGAAGGTCTGGTGGCTGTCAGATAGGTTCAGAAACTATGAAGTTCAAAGAAGTTTCAGAGTTTCAAATTTGGAGCGGTGTTTCATGTATGGTCTGTCATTTGATTTGGAACACAGTTTCATGTATGGTTTGCCACTTGATTTGGAACAGAGTTTCAGATTGGTAGAGTGTTTCATGTATGTTTGTCACTTGATCTGGTGGCTATTATATAGGTTTAGAAATTATGAAGTTCAGAGTATTTTCATGTGGCTATGCTCTAAAGATATATTGATGTTATATAGGTTTAGAAATTATGAAGTTCAGAGTACAGGCATGTTGATGTATTGTAAAGAAACATTGTGTTTTAACAGTTCGGTATTTGTACAGATTTGCAATGCTTTGTTAGATTTTACAGTAAGTGTTGCGCATGTTCAGTAACAACACCCATGCTTGCTCTTGCATGAGAAAACTCAAATTTCTGTACTTGTATTTTTTTAACACAATGGCATATTTTGTGGGCTAGATGAGAGAAGTGCATTTTGGGGAAGCACTCAAGAGGAGTATGATTACAGGGAGAGGAATATCCAAGAGAGTTAAAAGAGGGGCAATAAGTGCTACAGCAGCAACAACCAATGCACCTGTAGGAGGAAGCAAAGCTGCCTAAGGTGGTGGAAGATTTATTTTTTTAACCGGGCATTACCCCTTTCCATTACCGCGACATAATGGAAATATATCATTTGTCCAGAAAATGAGACGGGAAAGAGGAAAGCGGGTTCAAGCATCGCCGTGAAACCCACTGTGAGCACTCGCCATCGAGATTACTCACTGTGGGGCGAAAAACCCGACAACACCATTACATCAAAACATCATCATCCATTTAACTACAGGATTGTCTAGTCTACGAGAACAAAGAC